AACTGTTTCTCTGGGGGTGGGTGGGCTTAGGGCCTCCACCCTCCTCTGCCTCGTGTGCTTCCTTCAAGGCCAACGACACTTCTGCCCTTGCTGAGGGGGCCTGCCCACGCTAGCACCTAGCTCCTTCCCCCAGCCGGCTATAGCTGGCTCACATTCGCCCATCGGTTTCATGTAAATATTAAATAGCATAAGAGACAAAACAGAACCCTGTAGGCCATCAAAGGCCGAAGACCAAGGCATCAAACAGGAGTTCTCCAGAATCACCTTCTGAGTTTACCCTTTCAGGAAAGACTGGAGCCACAATAAAACAGTGCCTTCATATCTCATCCTAGAGAGACAGTTCAGAAGGATATCATGGTCGGTTGTTTTGAAGGATACTGAGAGGTCCAACAGAATCAAAAGGGACACACTCCCTCTAGTTCGAGGTGTAGGTCATCCACCAAAGGCAACCAAAGCTATGTCTTCCCCAATACTGGCTCTGGTGCCAGACTGAAATGAATCCAGATACAGTAATGTGTTTCATCCAGGAATCTTGGAGTTGAAAAGCCACCACCTGCTCAGTAAACAGCTAAAGTGATTTGTTGGTGAATTCAATGTCAACGTCTGACGTTATTTTTAAAATATTATTTGTATGAAGCATAAATTCTTAGTATTCTAAAATTTCATAATTCTTATAGAGAAAGAGAGGTATAAAACAGCAACAGTTATGACATTTGTCATCAAGAGTGACAATTACTGGCTCTATAAGATTACTGCTACCAAATTATTATTTCTAACAACATATTAACTAAAGTTATAAAAATGCCTGATGATGCATCACTTTAAACTATTTTTAAGAACATCGACGCAAATGTTATTTATAGTTGATGCCTGCTTATCTGTTCTGCATACCTATCATGCTAGCACCTTTTTAGAACACTGATAGGAACAAGCACACTGGAATACATTCCTGGTCCATTTCTCCTGGCCGTTCTCTGCTCTTTCTGACAATGACCACCATGGGATGTCTCAATGGGAAACTGAAGCATGATGGTATATCAAAAAAGGTATGCCATCTTGAGTCCTCACCAGAGGAAAATTCAGGATAAAAATTAAAGAAATAATATAAATAGGGCTTCTGAAGGCATGTAAAGATGAAATGAGGTTTATGACTTAGTGGCTCAAATCTTGTTGCTTAGTGTAAGCCAAATCGTAACTTTTGGTCTGTTCCTTCCTGGTAAACCAAGCACCTCTCCTTTGATTCTTGGAGTGCATGTGCATACTGACCTGGTGTGTGCACATGTCAGCCCTCGCAAATCGTGGCAGGGGCACTTAGTTCATCAAGGAGGAGTGGTTGGAAAGTTACAATTTCATTTATGCTACAAACAGTATTACAGCCAATAATACGTGTGGCATAGCAGCTCAAACAGATGGTTATGGCAGTGGCTGCTAATAACTGGAACTTACCTAAAAGTTGAAAGGTGAAAGACTAGAGAATGGAGAAATTACCTCCCTGAAGAGACTGGAATCAATAATAACAGGATCACCAAGTGACTGGTGAAAAATTAGATTACTGTACTTAAATTGATGGGATTTATGCTAGCTGTGTGCAGGATTTTAGCATCAGCAATGAAATCATTAACTGCCAGCAGAGATAATGTGAGGCTTTAAATATAGCCACTACGTTGTTGTGTTGCTTTTTTAAAGTAAGAGTCTGCAAGTCACAAGTTGCTCATTTATCACCACGTCATGAGTTGCCACTGTGTGCCAACTCACTAGAGATGGGCAAGTTGTTTTTTTAAAAAGACTACAGCTCCCAGAATCCCACAGCCAGCATGGCCATAGTACTTTGCAGTCCAACAAAGCAATTGCCATTCTACTTCTACACTCCTTTTCTTCTGTCAAATATGGCTTTGGGTCATTTTTACCAAGATAATTTAATATTCAGACCATTTCCTATCTCTGGGATAGAGTGTTAAAGCACCAAGAAGGTCTAGAATATAAAAAGGATTCTCTTACCACCTGGAAGTCCCAACACCAACCAGTCCTCTAGTAATATCAAGTAGTTTGTCAATTTAAGTTTATTTTCAAAAAGATATTCATTGGTCAGTCAAGCTATATCCATAGCCTGGAAGTCATGGATTATAGTCAACATATACTAAAAATTTATTTTCAAGGACATTTTGAGGCAGTTTAGAGTCATTCTGCTAGGGATTTTGCCATTCTTTAACCAATTTTTAAAGCAATGTGAAATCACAGAAAAACAACAAGAAACACAAGTTAACACATTACAGCAATAGATTAACCCTTCAAATATTGTAATGAGTAACAAAAACAAGCTATTAAAAAAATCAGTGTCCTAAACTCAGATCTATATTTAATTTTACATTTAACGTTTTTCCACAATAATATGTTTGAACGAAATCATTTTATTGGATAACTAACTGCTTTGTAGAAACACTGGCCATGTAAACATAGCACAAACATTCCTCCACACAGAATGCAACAAAACCAACCACTATTAGCCTTAATCCTATGCAAATTTACACAGAAATAAGTTCTAATGAATACAGTAGAACTTGCTCTTTGTTAAACACAGACTAAACTGCACCTTGAATCTACCTCTAGGTTACATGTACATCCTCTTTACTGGAGAGAGCAAGATGGACCTCAATAAATAAATTGTTGGCCCAACAGGTGGAAAACCATAAATTTCAAGTCCTCAGTAAGATGTGAAACTTGTCAGGTGGTATTGGGCCAAGATCTCTCCCTGCTTGGGCTACCTTGCGGTTAATGCTACAATAAAGGAGTGGCACATTATGTCCAATTGATCAATCGATAAATGGCATACAAGTTTCACAATATAAGAAAATCGTTATACTGAGCTATGAGTTATTAATGTAAATTTTCACAGGGACAGATAAGGGAGGGAATTATCAAAGTGTAGTAGCAAGGAGAAACAAAGCACAGAGAGAGCCAGTTGAGACCTAGACAGAAAATGGGGCACCACTGCAGATTTTAGGGGGAAGGGAGTTCACAAGAATGCTTGTTGCTCTATATTTCAATATCAACTTTGCAAGTGTACACTACTATGCAGTCTTCCTCCCATGCATGTACAGAGGCTACTGGAATTCAGGAGCATTTATTGAATGATGATTTGCCATTTTTGCACTTACCCTACCATATATACTAAGAGTCACTTAAGAAACAAGGATCACCACTCCAACATGCCATACTTTAACAGACACAACCCTTCCTGATTATATTATTTGCTTTAGAATAGATTTGAACTTCCTCTTCCCAATTCACTCTCTCTCAAGCTACACAACACGGAGTGAGACTTCTCTCAATTCTTGCCAGGCAAAAACCATGTCATAGCTGGAAAAACTTGGCCATTGCAAGACGTCCTCCTCAAGGTGTCTTGCTGGTCAAGAAGCCTCCCAAACACAACAAAAGTTTGCTTTTAAGGTAGCACATCCAAGAGAGACAGATGAATAGTGTTTTTCCCCAGTCCCCAGGCCTGTGATCATCACAACCCAGGTAGACTGCTGTGAAGAAGGCACCTTTCTCCTTCCACATAAGCCTGTATCAAACTTGGAAGCGTCAAAGTGTCAAATAAGACAGTAAATTACAGACAAGAGAAAGAGAATCAGCGTCACAGTTCCAAACCTGGCTATGAGAGTTCGGCTGCCCTTTTTAAAGATCTTTTCAAAGGTCAGATTGGTTTGCAAAGCGCTTGAAAATCTTACATAAGGACAGAAGTGATGGTGGGGAAGCACATACGTCAATGCATGCCATATCTATTCTAAAGTCGTAATACAGTAACTCTTCTTCAGACAAATGTTAAATATAGCGCAAGCTTCTGTAGGTAGCAGCCTACTTCTTCAGATGCAAATGTGGAATCTGATCTGACTCACTCACTCATTTATTTAGCAATAATTTGTGTAGCTGACGGCACAGGTTTTGGTCAAACAACCTTGAACTGCTTGACAGTACACAGGAATTGTACCCTACACTACTCAACTGTCACACAGAAAGAAGTAGTAAATTCAACAGTTAAGAAGAGTAATAAAGCCCACCACTGGGCTCCCATCTGCCTTAACTTCTTGCTATTCTCTAGACTGCTGATTTCAACTTGAGTTTGTTTTTAGTTTTATTTCCCACTTCTTAGTCTTGAGTCTTAGCCATCTGGTTTGAAGCCAGGTACTTATTCAGAGTTGTTGTTTTGGATTTGCTTGTTTGCTTTCAAGTACCTACTGAGGGATCTGCTCAAGTTCCCCTCCCAATAGCTTTGAACTTAACATTTCGTGTATTCAGATGGTACTATTCTTTTATCTTTTCTCATGTTTAAAAGGAACATAATAGCCCTCAGTAGGATTAAATAAATATTAATGCTTTGACCATCCAGCTACTATAATTTTAACCATAACCTGTACAGTGTAATCTCACCAAAGTGAAGCTCTCTTTGAGTCTAATTAATTACAGTAGTCAAATTAACTATGATCTTAAATGCATCCTGTTGAAATTATTATGATTCTTAGCCTTAAGATGAGGGGTTGGGACTTTCAAAGTACATTATTTTGTAAAAAGCACCAGTTCAATTTGTAGGAGCTTTATTATGCACAGAAATATTCACTAGTTGATTATTTTAGAAAATAATCAATATTATGCAGCAGCTCCACCTAAATAATTAATTGCACTTACAATCACTAACACTTCAGGTACCTTTACATAATCTTTCAGCACAACAATAATGTCTTATTAAAAAAACAGGAGGATGTTAAGGTAGCAGTTCTAACATTAAGTTATCCACTGATCAGCCCCACTCAACTCAATGGGAGTTACATCGGAGTAGACAAGAATAGGATTACACCTTTGAAATAGTGCCACATATAGTACATGCTTATATTTCAGAAAAACACAGGTATTTCCCTAAACTTACACAGGACTCCTGTATTTTTACTAACTTTTCTAAGTCTGCTGCTGGACAAAATGGTCGAGATCTCAACATTTTCTCGTACCTGGGAAGCATCTTTGTCCCATAAGCGAGCTCCACTTTTCAGAATCTCTCTAGCGTCCTGTTAAGAAGACCAGCTGCCAACCCAGGTTAATAATAGAAATGAACCACATTTATCCAGAACCACAAGACTGTCAGGTGACAGATTGAGAGGTCTGAATTTAACTGAAACAAAAGACGTTCCATGCTGTGGCACAAAAAGAGGGAATGGGGGGTGGGAGCCCAAAGAACGCAGGCGTAATCAGAAGACCCAGGATTGCCAAAAAGAAAGAGAGGAGGCGGGAATCCTTAAAGAAAAGCAGCAGGTCCCTGAAGTGCCACCCGAGCTTTCACACAAAAATCCATGCACAGACGCTGTCCAGCCGTTTCATAACCAAAAGCCTGCCTTCCCATGCTGTCGCTCTGTCCAGAATTCTGACTGAAGCAAATATTGCTCCCCTACCACAACCAGTCATTCCTTTGTCTCCTCGTGTGCTACAGCGAAGAAGAACAGGAGATCAATCTAATTCATCACCGAGCTAAGTGCCCCCTTGGCAGCCAATGCAGACTGTACATGCCGGTTTAATCTGTCCTGCTCCTTTAACGAAACCGATCTGTGTGGAGCCTCATGACCAGAGTCCTCCCAGCAGCTATGGCTGCAATCCTGCACCTCCATGGTCCACGCTGGTCAGAATCTCAGACGCATCACAGGGCAAAAGAAAAAAGAAAGAAAACAAAAACAGAAGCCCTCCTCTTCTCCAGAGACCTCCCACCTCTCATCTTCTACATTCTTGGGAGCTGCAGAATGCCTGTGTTCAACCCTTGCTGACAAGCTCAGCTGGAGGAGTGAAAAAGCAAGCCCTAATAGCCATCATGTGACCCTGAGCTGTCAGTATTTGCCACCTGGATCTACAACGAGCTGGCCAGCCAATCCCAGCTCTGCCTTGCATACATATGCATGCTGATTTCACCATGAAAATAAGGCCATTAGCCGTTTAACCGTGTGGGGCTCTCGTCTGGGTGTCTGATTTATTACTGAGCACAAGGAGGAAAATTATGCTTCTCGTTATTGCATAGCTCTGGCACAGAGCATTGCAGGACTCCTGTTAAGTTTCTATTTCAAGCAAGAAGATATTATTTTATCATTTCCCTCTCTTTCACCCTCCATCCTTCCCCAGCCTCAGTCTTCCATAGGAACAAAAGAAGCAGTGTTTGGCTTTGCAAAGGCTCATTAATATTACAAGTGAAACCCCAGAAACTGCAGACTATTGGGTGGCAATGTACAGCTTAAGACCCACTTAGAACTAGTTCCCTAGCTGTAAACAAGGTTTCATAACTGCTGGGGGATAGAGGGGCGGACACGTCAATATGGAGGAAAGGCTATTCTAAGAATTTTATTACACCAGCAAAAGCAGATCATCTACTGTTTGCCCTAAAATCACAGAATCTAAGATTATGACAACGAGCAACCACAACTGGAATTCAAAAGTAACATTCATCTTTTAACAGTTTCTAGATATTCATCTACCTAACACATCCACTGCTGGTTATATGTTACTGTGAAATTACTTTATTTGGGGTAGGCATTGGAAACCTGTTAAATGGCAAGGGGATTTCCTCACCCATAACTTCTGCAAGAAGCCTTTCTTACTTTTACACATGATATGAATCTGATTCTGAGGAAGCACAAAAATACTTATTTAATTCACTGGCAATTTCCCATCTGTAAACCCAGTATAGCTACATCAATCTCAGAGTCCCAAAGTTTTAAGATTCCACATAATCCTTGGAATGGTTCCAATGGCCTGCAAGAAGATGTCTTGGCTAGGATATATGTGTGTGTGTGTGTAAGTAACTAACTGCTTATGTGTGTAAGTAACTAACTGCATTTAAATATATATACAGTATTTAAATGCAGTTAGTTATTTACACACACAGAGAGAGACCGGGTTTGTATATTCAGAATGATAGAGACTGGGTTTGCATTTTCAGAATATCAGACAATGGCCGCTGCTATGATGCATATTAAAATGTTAATATCAGTTTTGACACAAGAATTAGGGGAAGATTCTTGACCTCAGAGTAGCTCCCCCCAGCCTGTGTGCTAATGTGTGGTTGTTTAAAAAACAAGGGGGGGCGTGTCTAACAAGTGCACAGAAAAATTTTGCTTTTTTAAAAAGGTGGGGGGGGACTGTGTAATCCTTGTACACAATTTGAAGTGGTGGTATCTTTATTAGATCACTAAAATATCAAAAGCAGAAGCCAGCTTTTGACTCCTATATACGTTTTCATTAGGAACTTCTATGTTTCTTCCACATCATCTCTAGATCAGTAATGACTAGCCTAATAAAAACCCTCATAGTTGGAAGTTAATTTTTGCTTGTAATATTTTAGCAGTTTGATAAAGTTATTACTACCCTTGTCTATTTTAAAAGAAATGCAAAAACCTGATGAATTTCCATTATGTGAACAGCAGCTAGAACTAGGCTTTGTAGATCTACAAACACATATACAAACATTCATAAAATGTATTCTCGAAGGCTTTCACGGCTGGGATCTGAAACTGGCAAAACATCAGGAAGAACAACCTTCAGAACATGGCCAAAGAACCCGAAAAACCCACAACAACCATTCATAAAATGCTTTCAGGATTCACCTCATTCTGTTTCAAGTCCACAAAGAGCGCTAAGTCCTCAGAATGGAGACTCAGGAGGCTGGGATAGTGTATCTGTCAATGAACACAATCCCACCAAAGTTCTTTTTTTAAAAAATGGTCTCACTATATTCAGTGACACATGAAAGTGTTTTGACCAACTGGATGAGGTTAATAAGGAAAATAAGCACAGCCTATTGGACAGAGATCTGTCCTTGAAAGATTACTGATGTCAAAAGTGACCTTTTCTCCCTCGGGCAATGTAATGGTGAGAAGTTAGTGAGCCCAGTCTATTATGTAAATGTTTATTTACAGGAATATGTTTCCATATTACCTCAGTCCAATATGCATCCATATAAAAGAGTTTTTTTAAAAAGGATCAATCACTGAACAGTAAGTGATGAGGAAACTATGTGAATGGATTTCCACTGATGCTCTAAGAAGAGAAGACCAGCCTCACACATGTAACAAGAGTAACCAACATTATAAAAGATTAAAATATGAACAGAACTTAACAATTTAATGGCTTCACCTCATCTTACAAACACTGTTCTGCTTTGTTTTATTTCTGTTTGAAGTTGAACTTCAATGATTTCTAAAAAGAGACAATATAACACAAGATCATACTTTTAAGCCACTGTGAATGCCTTTTTTTAAAAAAAGAGATTTTTATCTAGAAACTAACTATATGCGTCTCTGTTCTTTTATTATACCAGATGCCGTGATAACAGCATATTTGCAACTCAGCATATTCTTTCGTGAGCAGGTGAACTGGGACACATGGGAAGGGTCTACCTCCGAGCTCTCTCCATGGGTCCCTGACAAGGGGATAAAACAGGCAGAGGATGGATCCCTTCTCCAGGTATTATTCAGGGGTGACTGCTCTGCTGGAACTGAGCTACAGGATAGACCAGAAGAGGTGAGAAGATGAGGAAGCCAAGGAAGGAATTTTCTCAGAATAAAAAAGGAGCTAGAGGAGGAGCTAGTGGCACCTGGCAGGAAAGAGGAAGAGTATGAGAATGAAGACTGGAGTGACGTGGCCCCAAACTCCACCTGGCAGGAAAGAGGAAGAGTATGAGAGTGAAGACTCCACAGTACAGTATATGTGGGATATGAAGCACACAAGGGCAATCCTCCTTTAGGCCCCATCATTCTCACTGCTGACCACAAAACAGGGGTGTGGAAAGTCTGTGCGTCTTATGGAGCGAAGAAAACAGATTATATTTTCCTGTTTTCTTCTCCTAAAAAATTGGTGCGTCTTATGGAAAGGTGCGTCTTATGGAGCGAAAAATACGGTATGTGGGATATGAAGCACACAAGGGAAATCCTCCTTTAGGTCCCATCATTCCTTACTCACTGCTGAAGAGGCTAATTACAGAGGACTCTCCAGAATATGAGGAGGCTTGGTTGAAACTTAAGGTCATACCGTAGAGCAAGAGGAAAGACTCTGCACCCACAACAGAACTGACTCCTGCCCAGCTATGTTGCTTATGCTGGGAAAGGCAATTTAAGTGCCTCTGACAGCTGACTAAGAATTTTCATTTGGATTTTGATGGGAAGCAGAGAATATGTAACTTTCCCTAAATGAGTCTGTATGATGCCAAATGAGCAAGATAAAAACTAGGGGAAAAAAATACTACTGAATAATTGGACTACACTAAAGCACCAATGTTTGCTTTTATATTTATAGTATTGTTTTGTATCCAGTTTCTAATTGCAATCTAATATAAATAGACACCAAACAAGTCTACATAATACGAACTGGTACTGCAAGACAACAGGGCATTTTTCCCCTAGCTGAACAGTTATTTTATTGTGAGCCCCAGCTACTCAGGGAATTGAATAATCTTTTCCCCAGAGCTATTAAAATGGAAGTGTCAATAGTCTAGTGTGTACATTTCATGAAAAGATTTTAGGGAGGGAAAATACTAGCTGTTTTGTATCCAGTTTCTAATTGCAATCTAATATAAATAGACACCAAACAAGTCTACATAATACGAACTGGTACTGCAAGACAACAGGGCATTTTTCCCCTAGCTGAACAGTTATTTTATTGTGAGCCCCAGCTACTCAGGGAATTGAATAATCTTTTCCCCAGAGCTATTAAAATGGAAGTGTCAATAGTCTAGTGTGTACATTTCATGAAAAGATTTTGGGGAGGGAAAATACTAGCACAACATTGCTCTTGACTCTTCTGTTGAGGTTGCCAGATAACAGAGAGATGGAAGGGACTGATTTGTATACCTCCACTGCTTGATCTGTCATGTCACATATTGCAAAAAACCCATTCATTTTTTTTTTGCAAACTGATTTTATGGCTAATTCAGATTATTTCTTTTTCAGGCCAGTAGCTCGATATGACTATTTGTTGCCTTTCAATTTTCAGCTTTTTACTAACTTGGAATACAACTAGAAAATCATTATGGCAATGATCAACCAACAAGTTTTGAAACAGGCAATAGAAATCACAAGATGCTGACTGAGGGATTTTGGTTGTTGTAGTCCATAAAAGTAAATTTTCTAAGCCCTTCATGTAGCATAGCGTGGAATAAAATTAAAGATTACATCCTAAAGAGCAGAATCACACCAAAGGAAGATTTTGGATATACACCCTCTCTTTCTTAGGAAAAAAAATCAACACAATGATGTTAGGGGGGGAAAACAGTTAACACAAAGATGGGCAGAAAAGCTATCCTTTAAAAAAGTATAATTCTATCACTAAAAATTTGAAAAACAATTATTTCCATTCCTGTAACTCCAAATCTCCAATGCTTTCCACACACTACATAGCATAATAAATGGATCTTTGAGATTTTAAAAATAAATTCTAGATTTTTATATAGTTATTCATTTTTATGGTAATTATTATTGTCTGCTGTATCACTGTATTTTTAATTGTTTTTTAATTGTGGGGTATTGTAAGTTTTAATCTTATGTAAACTGCCAAATATAGTGCTTAAACTAATGGGATAGCATATAAATTGAATTATATATATATTTTTCCCATTGCACTCTTCAAAGTAAACACAGGGATGATCTGTCAGAAGATATTGCCTGTGACATAAGTGTCACAAGATA